AGCGAAGATATACGTGGTAAACGTCAACACAGCAGGTAGGACTAAAAGAGGGTCTTGAACAGTTATGGACTCGAGAGTTAAAATTCTGAAGATCCAAAAATGCAAACTTACAGATTCCCAAACCAATTACTGAACACGGACGTGAACAACATTGGTCCTCCTCTTCTTTCACTCGCTCATGAGCCATAAGTACAGAATGGACTGAGTGCAGAACAAGATATAGAGTGGCGGTAACAGATATGATTGAGAATTGAAGGATAAGATGAAGGGCAGGCGATAGGGCAAATGGGTCACCAACCTAAAAAAAAATTTAAAGTTTTTTTTTCATGATATGTTATAGAGCAATATAGAAAAATTTCAAATAAAAATATTTGTAACTCTTCCATATTTTGTCATTTCTGTTCGATTCCCCTCCCCCTCCCCCTGCCTTTTCCCTAAAAGGTATCATGGGGATTTCTGAAATCTATGCTCAAGGACAAGTTCGGATTACAGCCATCCTCAAGTATTTCCGTCTTGATGTGCTCCATTGCGCTATTGAGGACATTTCGAGGTCTTAGACATTCTGGCGTAGATAACAATTCTTACATTTATTTAGAGATTTAAAATTTTCACGAAAGTGGAAGACGTTTAAAAAATCCGGTAATTTCTTAAGTAACTGATGAAACCCGTGACAATAAAAATAATGTCGCCTTATAATCACCAAAAAAATCTTTTTGGTCCTTGAAAATTCTCAAATTAAATCAGTTCCCAAAGTTAATTAAGTGATTTACCTGAGGTGCAATCAACATGACGAGATGTACAACATGGATCATAAAGACAAAGAAGAGGTAGACTAGAAGAGCAAAATCCACTGTTTGGTTTCTAAAATACGTGCAATTACGTTGGAAAATTCTCCTTTGAAGATTAGATTAAACATACTTTTGTACAGCTGCCATAAATAGTAAAAATATTGAACAGATCATAGAAATGAACGTAGTTACTGTAGGTAACAGTACACCTAAATCTCGCATTGCATCCTCTTCATTTAGGAAGTATGTATCCTGAA